AATCACGTGTCGTTAATCAATGCAACCGCGCCACCAAGAAAATGAAAGAGTACTTTCCGTTTGTGGAAAGTGTTTCCACCACATTAACCGCTAATTGTCGGAGGGGAGAGGGGGTGAGGACTGAGGGGGGAGGGAGGGGATGATTTCACGGAGTCGCGCACGCGGCCATATTGCAATGCTTTTCATAATTATACTTATTTTATGCACCGGTGCGTTCAGAGTGGCGATGTCAAAGTTCGCAATGGATGGGTGATATTAGAAGAGGTCGCCTTCCGTCTGAGGTTAGCATTTAACTCTTTTCGCTCGGGCTCTGATTCAATAAAAGTTTAATTGAGTTTTTCGTTGAACAGGTTTGAGAGTTGGTATTGGAAATTGGTGGTTACTTTTAGGGGTGGTGGTTTTATGAGATTTTCTGACGACTTCATTTCTCTAGCAGATATACATATCTATCCTATCCTACAGGATAGGTAATCATGAGTATTTATGTGTAACTACATAATATATTTTATTTGTGTCTAACCAATAGCTTTCCTCCTTCAATCCCATGGAAACAAAGGGTTTTAGTGTGGCAATTAACTATCAACATTATGTAAACCGGGAAACAAAAACGTAGTTGATTTAATCTGGAATAATTCTTTTGAGAACTACTTTTACAAAAACTGACTTCAACCCCTGTTTGTTTTAAGTTGGTTAATTAAACTAAAACATTCTCCTATGTGTAACAAACCCTTTTTTGAAACCCGCATCAAAATCAGTTCAGCCAATTGCGAGGTAATTGCACACATATACATACAATCAAAATATTTAAAAATATTTAAAAAACACTTTACAAATAGCATTCATTGCATAGCTATTTACTAAAGTAATAAAAATAAAATAAAAGAGGTGGACGGTTTCCTAAGGAGTGCTAAGGACAATAAGGGTTAAGTGGTGACGTCACAGGGGTGGCGGTCTTTGATTTTATTTGCCCGACACACCCTTGCCCGTCTGCTACGAGATTTTAGAAGTTGTAGGGATGTGGTGCGATGTGCGATGCGTATCGTGTGTCGATGTTTCTCTTAAAGACTTTTGTATCGAGTAAATTATGTATTCAGATGCAATGGATATTTCATGTTACATTCTCAATTAGGGCAAAAAGTGGTTAAGGTTTATTTCTTATTAAAATTGCATTAATTGAACTGCCTAACGTAAAGTGGATGACTGCACGGTTGGCGCGGTGGCTGGGCAACTGGCTGCCGTGCAACGTGTCGTGGGTTCGATTTCCGCACGGAACAACTCTTTGTGTGATCCACAAATTGTTGTTTCGGGTCTGGGTGTCATGTGTATGTGAACTTGTATGTTTGTAAACGCACCCACGACATAGAAGAAAATCCTAGTGTGGGCAACGTTTAAAAAAAAAAAAGTCAAAAATAAGCTTTAATTAGGTGACACTCTGATACGTAGAAAAAGCACATTAAATATAGCAATTACAGTTAAAAGTTTAAGAACATTATAAAATGGCATTACATAATTATTATTATGTTCATTATTGTGACATAAATTCCATTAGACCATCGACTACACCTCATCACTATTTCATTGGCCTGCTTGAGATTTAAATGAGCCAGACATGTCTCAGTCTGGAGTTTGATTCCCAAACGAGGCACGCCCACGACTATTGAATTTTAGTGCAGCAGTAAACCGCAGTTGAGGGCCCTTCTAGTAACGTTACTTCAATTGATATATATATTGACTCTTATTTACTGTTTTTAAACACGAATTAATATATAAGTCTTATGTGTAAATTGTGTACAACAGTGCCTTCCTGGTGTAATTGAAATAAATGTCAGCTTAATTTTTTCTGACAAAATATCTCACGTAACATCACGCCTTTTATCCTCGAAGGGGTAGGCAGAGGTGCACAATACGGCACCTAATGCCACTGTACTTACTATGTAACATCGACTCTTCACTATTGTATGTTATGAGCCCCATGTAATTGAGCCTATTGCCATATACCGGGCACAATTCCAGACTCCGCGCTACCACTGAGATTTTTTAAATACCCAGTAATACTTTGCCCAACCCGAGAATCGAACCCGAGACCCCATGCCCGGCAGTCGCACTTGCGACCACTCGACCAACGAGGCAGTCAGAGGCAGACAGACAAAATGTTACTGTAAATTAATTAAATAAAAGTTTTTTTAATTAAGATTCATAATAAAAGCAGTAACGTAAATATTTCATTAAAATTCTAATTCAGCGTGGACTTATGAATATTTTTTCGCCCCGAAGTAATATCGCACTCACAATCATACTTAACGACTTTTAAAATTAAAACAAGTAAAAAGTTACCGTCTGGCAATTTAAAAGTTGAGTGATTAAGAATCTCAACCGTCTGGGATTCGAACCCGGGACATCGCCTACCGGTAATTGTTACTGCACAGTTTAATTGCACCTCTTAATTTAAGGGTGCGTTAAATTAAAACTGTGCTTAAATTCACAAATTTTTAGAAGATAACTGCACATTTTTAAGACGCTACGGTATCTCGCAATTAGGGGAGAGCAATTAAATGTACCGATATACCTCCCCAAGGAAAACTCCTCACATTACTTTTTTAAACACTCGCAGAAAATATGAATTCGGATATTTCTAATTAAGAATATTTTACTATCACATCTTTAATAAAATGTTTTTATTACACTGGCTGACTATACTAATATTTTGTAAAAACATAATGTAAAGGCGTAGCAAACTAAAAACAGATCTAATTGTAAGTACAATCCATATCATTTAGGCAATTTATAGCCCACTGTGAGCTCGAAAATAAAAAAAAATAAACTCCGTTCATCTATTTTACTTCCCGACGACTCTTTTCTTACTTAAAACAAAATAAATAAAAACCTCTGTGCATTTACAACAACACTATCAATTTAAAACCCTTTCAATTCGATTTCCAGTTTATTTTTCCTGAAACGTATTTCAGAGGCACCAGTTGTTGTTTAACAAAAACATTATGTTAGCGCAATATATTGCCAACCAACTGACTGGCTTGGGGAGGACGGAGGGCAGAGGGCAGAGGGAAAAAAAGAGTATCAATTGTAAGGGAGTCTATGATTTATGGGCAGCTGGATTAAAATGTTGTGGTGAGAGGGTGCAGCGGACCGAGGCTGAGAGAATGTTAATTCGTAATATGGAGTTTATAATCTGTGCTTTGTTATAATCTGTGGCTGTCGTCAGAAAATACACTATGCCCAGTCTATGGGAGTGACTTAAAGTAAATTAGTTTAAGTATCTGTATACAAGTTATAATTCAGCTTGGATTCTTCTTTAGAATATCTTATCAAGGCATCCTCTTTCAAGGCTAGTTTCCATTCGTTGTTTAAAAAGACGTTAATAGAGCAAATCAATAGGCTCATTCCCTCTTGTCTAGTTCATAACATAATCATTGCAAAGTGGGTGATACGGTGTACGGATATGCAGTGCAGTTCTGCATAACATCATCTGAACATTACCAACACCTTTTATCCCCGAAGGGATAGGCAGAGGTGCACATTACGGCATTTACTGCCATTGTCCAATGTAACATCCACTTTTCACTATTTATAATGTTATGAGTTCCATGTAATAGGAGGTGAGTCTATTTCCATATACCGGGCACAATTCCAAATTCCGTGTTACTACTGAGAGTTGGTTTAAAAAACCCATTAATACTTTGCCTGATCCGAGAATTGAACCACGCGACCACTTGGCCAAGGAGGCAGTCACAGTGCCGTTCTGCCTGTGAGATTAATATAAATTAAATACACAAAGCAGAGTTTTCGCAAAAAAAAATCGTCTTAACGCCCTTAGCATTGGAGTGTGGAGATAAAAGTCCTCTGACGTTAATACATAATACCCGGTCGGTAGAATAAATTGTGGAGCTTAAGATACGCGGCTGTTAATCGCCGGGGATAATGAAGCGTCTCCCGGGATGAAGCAGCCTGCTCGATGATATTCTTTTACCTACACCACGGTCTTAACGTGGATTTATTAAATGTCTAGTAGAATGTTTTCTTAGAATTTTCTTCTGTTTATATAAGTAAATGCTGCTTATAAATTTACTGTACGGCATCGAGAAATATTTAAAGTTTTGGTATATAAAGAATAAGAGGGTAGGTAACAAATGTTTTGAGAGTAACAAGTTATACTGTATGTGTGAGTGATGGTTACATTTTATTTATTTATAGGATGGAGAAAATCTAGTCAATAAAATAGAGATACAAAGAAGCTTTAAAAATCTTAACTAATATTAAATATTCGAGGCATGTCAAGTTCCATGAAACTGAATCTTCCAGTTCTGACTAAAACATCACGTACAGGTCCAACCAATATGATATCCAATAGAATTATCCCAAACATGATATAGTAACCAATCAGCGAGTATTAAATGAAAGTATCCCGTCCCGCTGCGTGGACCGCATCACTAATGGGGCACCCAGGGCGGTGGGATGGTGGATGGTAGATGGTGGGAGATGAAGTTATAAATGTGGGACGTGTGCTGGGTGCCAAGCAGCCAGCTAATCAACACGTACTCACGTAATTGAATGAACACCGTCTTGGCTGAGGTGCTAATAGAATATTTGGTATTCATATTGTGCAAGTTATTGTGGAGAATTTAATTGTACAGGCAGGTGAGTAGCTGTTATTGTATTGTTACACTGTTACAGTACCGTCGTTCGTTTAATACTTATACAGCTTTTGTCAGATCTGTTAATTAAGTAACTGTTGATGTTTAATTCATTAAAATTAAGCCTCTAATTTTGTTATACGCAATCCTTGACAGCTTGTTAATGTACCTATATGCCTTACCTGCCTTTATTCGTAGATTCTTTACATAATTAGGTATATCTTAAATTCTTGTTCATCATCTGTAATGATACACAGTTGCCGTCGTAATTCCACCAATCGGTCACCATTAGTAAAAATGTTTTGTAGAATTCCTAAAAATAACAAAAATCAACATATGCTATGTACGTACCCGATCGCAGGGTGCTGGTGCATGCAGCTGCCTGGCCTGTCCTCTGCCCAGCGCCTCCCGCTTCCTCTGTGCGCTGAACAGCCTCAGCTCCTTGCGCTCCTCGTCAGACAGCGCGTGGCAGTACCGCACCTGGAACGTGAAGATAGAATGCGTGAAGACATACATTACTGTTACATATGGCTGGATTTCTAAACGGTTTCTACTTGGATTTTGGACTCACCCCCTATTACATGGGACTCATAAAATTAATAGTGAAAAGTCGGTGTTACATTATACAGTGGCATTAAGTGCATCTCTGCCTACCCCTTCGGGGATAAAAGGCGTGACGTTATGTTGTATTTGGATGTTGTAAGTGGTAAATAAGGGTTCTTTCACACATTTTAAGAAATCACTTAATCATAGGAAATCTCCAGTATTTTACGTGGAGGGATAATATACAACGGGCATCGGTAGGTTTCTTGAGAAATCTATTTCATGCAGATTTGGTCAGCTTTGTAGTTTCAGTAGTTTCATACTACGTTGAGATCATCAAAGCTTTCATATAACAATTGCAAAATCGGCAGGCGTGCTCACGGAGAAATTTAGCAGTGATGAACATCATGTGTAAGCCAATACAGTAGGAGAGAGTACCAGAGCCCTTGGTCATGCTGTCGCCGTCCCCATGCAGCGGAGTATGGTGGCAGTTACCTTGTAGCTGGGGTTTGCAGGAGGGGTAGTTACCTCGTTGTCCTGAGGGGGCAGCTGCTGTAACAGCTGCTTCAGCCGGTAACGCTCCCCCACGCTGTTCACGTAAGGGACCTTGTCTTCTGGCAGCGCTGAGAAGTACAGGTGCACCTGGAAAATGAGTGATGGAGCTGGTTAGAACATCGCTATAAGTTACGTTAATAGACTAAGTACTTGTTGCTTAATGAGAATAATAAAATGAATTTAACAATTACTTTTTCATTTTAATTACCTACATTATTGTACGATATTAAAATGCTCACTGATGCAGTTCAAATTTAACCGATGAAAGTACGTTTCATTTAGTTTATATTTACATCTAAACTTTAAGTAAAGAATCAATTATTGTATGAGTAATCTTAACTATTGCCACTCAAAAATAACAACAAACTATTGCACGAACTTTTCAATCAGGCCAACAAGAACATCTAAAAGAAAAACTGTCATAACAATTTATATCTTGCACTAATTCATAGCATTAAGTTATTATGAGGAAGAAATATAGTCCGGCCAGTGTCAGACACTGATAGTGGCGTTATGAGATTACAACGCCAAATATCACCCACACACACACAAACATAATGTACAGTACTCTTAATAACTTAATTGATTTACTGAAGGGAGAATGTTATATAGATTTATAGATAGATGTCTTGTAATAATGTGACGTATTTATTGTGCTGGATATCATGAAGCTAGATTACATACATTATTGTACAATACAGATACACTTTATAATCGAATAAAGGAAATAATGTCAATGAATTTTACCCACCGACAAGAAATTCACCGACTGCTAACATTTTCCTTTAAGTTGTGTTGGATAATGTCAAGAAAATAGTATTTTAGAGAAATGCAAGCTAAGGTAAGACGTGTTCTGGAATCCCTCGAGACTATTCGTGAAACAGAATATTCAATGAAGCAAATAGGACTCGATTTCAAAGGGAAGGAAATCTGAATGTTAGGTTTTTAAAAAAGTAATGCATGCGTGTGAGAAATAAAGAACTTATCGCCGAGTCAAAAGGTCTATTCACTTAAAAAGGTTTTCAGTAGAATGGCTATTATTAATAAGTAATTACACTCTCATTTAAGTGACTTGAGTATTTTACAAAACGATCGAAAATATTTGTAAAGTAAAACATGGATTTCACAATTCTGCAGACGATTAATCTTAGAAACTCACAATTTACAATACTTCATATTATAAGACTAGCTACTTCCGCGCGGTTTCACACGCTCTGCTCACCTATTGGTCGTAAAGTGATGTTTTATAGCTTACAGCCATCCTCGATAAATGCGCTATCCAACACATAAAGAATTATTAAAATCAGACTTGTAGTTACAGAGATTAGCGCGTTCAAATTCAAACAAACAAACAAAAAAACAAACTCTCCCGCTTTATACCTCTATAATAGTATAAGATATAAGATTGTGTAACTGTAGAACATAAAACTAATGACGCCATAACTGGCAGGGTGGGGAAACATAATGAAAACTATACGTGAGCAGGGTATTTATTGGGGTAATGTCATATTGTGTATTTAGTATAGATAAATGAAAAACCGCATGACTTAAGACAATGTTACGACAACGTGGGCACAAGTGGATAATATATTAATCCAGTATCTATTTTTGCTGAGCCCATTAGTTAGCTGAATATCGAAAATTACTAAAGCCAATTGGAAATCGAACTCGAGAGAGATGTAGTCCAGAAAATGAAGTAAACTTATCTACATAGATATAATTTGAAAATACGAGAGATTAGGGAGTAAAGTTAAATTCTCTGAAATAGTTTTACTTAAGGAAAAAGGAAAAAAAATCAATTAAATGTTGTTACTCCACAAAATAAGCTCTACACAGTCTCAACTGTACAGCAACCCTTTACAGCACCAGCAACTTGATGACGTCTGCAATAAACGTAAGTACAAGTCATCCCCAAACTTGGAACACGTTCCTCAAGAATAGGAAGGGAGGCTCAGGAGAGATATTTTAATTTTTTGCTCCGTTGCCTTCCCGTGGATGCTTTATTTTTACTGTAATTATAAATACCGAAGTCTCCGTAGTCATTCGGTGTGATTACTGGGAGACCGCAGGCGGTCCCCTTCGGGGTTCGAAGTTGTATTCTCAAGTTATTCCCGGACCAAGTGGCTATACAACGTTACGGTACGTTACTTTCTGCATCATTTGCATATAAATTCTTATATTCTGTGTTTATTGTATGGGAATTGACGAATTTTGGTTTTTAAAGTGTCTTGGATGATGTTGTGAAATGCCACCCATGGTATATAAATGTAAACAATAGTGCAGTTTTCCCTAATCACTTCATAAATATGGTTTTGCAAGACTTTAGAAGAGTAGTTTCTATAAACTTTGACGAAGACGGTCAAGTCAAATTATATTAAATTATCCTTTTTTTTAAAGGAAACGACTGTGTCGTTAACGACATAATAAGTGCGGGTGCAGTGACATGATACACATCACACGTGACTGCACCAACCTGACACACGTAATGACATATTATGCAGAGATTAACATCAGTTCAGCACTGACACTGCTACAATGTAGCGGTGTAGACGTGCTTACGTAGCTAAACGTCTTATTTGATTTTAAAAGACATTCAAGGGTTAATATTTATACTTTTTGTTATTCTAACTGCAATGACGATAAAAGTAAAATGACAATACAAGGAATAGCTATTTTAAAATGAGAAAAATAGAAGCATTAAAAATGTCCATTTTCCTAAAAACAGTTTCATTGACAAAAGCCACAAAAAGCTTCAAAAAAGACAAAAAGGAGCAAACTGTCGCTAAACAATAGCTCACGGGGACAAAGGGGGTATTGTGGACTGCGGTTAGCAGGCAGCGGGCGGCGGGCGGCGGGCGGCGGCCGGTGCTGGCCACTTTGTTGGAGAACTTGTCCGTCTGAGCGGTGTGCTGTGTGCGGGGCATGCAAAGTGCCGCGTACTGCGTTGTTTGTGGTGCGTTTTCATTTTTTTGTAAACAAGGGGAGACAGGAGCCTGGCTTTTAGATGATATTTTGTGGTTACGAGACAAATGAACAAGTCAAGTTTAGTAGCAATAAATTAAACGACAACAAAGTAAGTTTAGAATGTACCTGTTCTGGCCTCAGGCCTGGCGGCACCCATGTGTACTCCTCGAGCGCGCACCCTGAGTCATCATCACTCTGCGAGTGTCGGTGAGGATCTCCGGGCTTCATCAGCCTCTCCGCGTGCTCCAACAGTCCTCGGAACTTGCCCTGAGGCACCGGGTGGGGAGACAGCGACATTGCTGATTGCGGTGACTGAGGCGACTGGTAACTCTGCCCAGGCTGGTTCAGCTGCGACACACTGTGGCTGTGCAGCAGCCCGAACTCTGGGTAACTCTGGTTCTGGATCGGCTGACTCCGTCTGAAGTTCGGGTAGGAGTATGGGTGTGGGGAGTTAGACTGGCTGGGCACTGAGGAGCCGCTGTGCGAGGGTTGTGGTGATGGAAGTGAAGGGAGTAGCCTCGGTGACGTGGGCGGTGACGCCGGCGCTGGAGGTGGGGGGGAGGAGGCCTGCTCGTGCAGCGGAGGAGGAGAGGACCCCGTCGGTGACACCACGCAGTTCCGACATACGGGCCTGGAAACAGAAAAAAGAACAATAAGTATTAAATACATCAATAAAAAGTACTTACTTGTAACACAAAAGTTGTTACAAAAGTAAATACATAACGAGTTGTTTAACACATAGTATTGGTTCGATTCCACTAATACAATAACAGCATCGTGACCACAACATCAGTCTCGATTGATCTATTACTTCTACTTATCATTAATCTCTAAGATAAACATCATCTATTATGACAATAATTAATTGCTATCAGTGCGGTAGTCTAGTTTCAGTTCATATAATTCTTGTGTACATAGATCAGAACTTTTCGTATAACATTAAATTACGGTAGACACTATTAGAGGGGATTTTATAAAGGTCTATCTTAATGGAAGCCTGTAGTCGTTCAGACTTTATCGGGGAACTAACGTGTTTTATTAAATTAATTGATCCATAACTGTAAAGTCGTAAAGTGCTGGTGTTTGATTCCCGTTGGGTGCAATGGAACTAGTCTTGTAATAGTGCTACAATGTCCTCATGTAAAAATACCTCCGCGGAAAGTTACATCGTGCGCCACAGATTGGCGACAGGGCTGCCACTGTATATGTTTAGAAGCCAGAAGCCATGGATTTGTATGCATGCAGTCATATCAAATCACTTTTTTACAAAAGTGGATAGATTATACAAAAATTTGGAATAAAATGTAATTTGATATGAGTTCCGACTTCATGCGATTACTGAGGATTTTAAAGGTTAACTCTTAATAAGACTACCTACAACCTTCTTCGCTTCGAGCTTTAATTTGTTATGTAAATATAACTGAACACATTTAAAGAAATGATGGAACAGAAATTGTAATATCATTCGAATAGTTGCAGCCCTTCAAATATCTCGTTGCATCGTGTTAAGTTATTCTAATTGTGCGGAGTCGTGGCCGGGCTGCTATTTTTATGTGTTCACTACTTCGTGACAAAGTGTCGCATTATATTCTCCAGCACGGGAGAGAGGAGACAGCCCTGCCTTGTAATTTCCCGCTAGATATGCGCGCGGGCAGGCGGCGACTGTAAATAAACTTTATTAGGGCGACACTCCCTTTACCACGCAACCTCGAGGGTTGACCTGCTTGGCAAGCCATTTCTCTTAGACAACAACTCTTTGCATATCCCATATCCACAACAAGCCTCGTTGCGAATATAAATTGAAAATGTTCCTGCAATCTACTGACGTAATCTAAATAACAATAATTTGCAAACGCCAATCAGCGATGGAATTTTACGCGTCATTATGGACTAATGACAAAATCATCATAATTACTACCGTCATTTGTCATCTCATCTCCGACCTGCCGCTGAGCGAAACTGTCACTGTCATCCGTCAAACCCTTTGAAGCAACCCCGCGACTGCCGCGTCGGTCCTACCGACCGCTATCGAGCACAGATCTCACGACCTACGCGAGCGATACAATCGAGAGTCGCCTACTATCGATACATCACTCGGCTGCCAGTAATTGCTCAGTAGATGCCGGTGATATTAATAAAAAGAGCGCGAACCGAGATCTAGCCGATTGATTGGCTCGTATAATTTTATAGACGAAGTATAGAAAATGGCGGTTTTTGCACAACTTTGTATAGGTGTCGTGAATATAAATGTTTATTTTCTTAAGAGATTAGGCTTAGATTGTATCATAAATAGGAAGCTGCCGGTAGCTCGGATGCGAACTTCTTTTTGCTCCAGTGAATCATGCTTGCTTGTTAGTTTTTATACTTATTTACTTTCTGTTCTTCTTGTTTGACTTTCATTAACATTGTAATTGACCCGCGCTGTCGGTTGGAAGTAACTAATCGGCTCAGCACAGGAGATATAATTTAATGTTTCTGTAAGTTACGATCTTGTTATGGCGTACCTAATACAATATTCATATTGGAGAAATACAAACATTTACATTTAGATAATAATTTTACATTTTCCATCATTTAACACGAGGAAGGTCAAACGTCATCAACCTATTAAACGCACTAGTTATGTAAAGCTTACGCATGATAACAACCTTTATGTCCCATAAACTAATGTTCATTTTCACTTACACACCATAGAGGAGGATTTATGCGTTTTGGTGTGTGAAATAAAACAAATTGGGCGGGCATACAAAACGTTGGGTATTTACGACCCCTGCGCCGGCAGCCGGTTGGAACTTTCGACACGTATTTATTAGACAGGTTGTATTCCGTCTGCTTCATATTATATGCTAATGAGAGGGACCGCGCTACCTTCATGATTAATTCCACAGGATTGTATAGTTAGCTGTGTTTTGTAAGTACTTCATTAATTTTGTTATTGTTCGAAGAACTATTAAAATGCATCTATGAACAGTTCGTACACTTCATATAACGGTGTAGGCTATGATAATTCTTGGTTGACATTTTTTCTAACAGAACTGGCGAGTTTATCAGGTATCACATAGTCTATGTTATGTTTTGGAGTCCCACCATACAAATTACAAACATAATTAAATCATTACTAGTTGATCCTGGTAATACAATACCGACTCTAGTCTCTCCATGTTAATATATGTTCACGGTAATTTTCCCGTTAACGCAAACGCGATGTGACGCGTTAAGTCAGCGTTTAACGCATAATTTCATGGGCTATTGTTCCCAGTTATCTGTGAGACAAGTGTAACTGTTCCACTGACGGGTTAACTCACTCAATTACGCATGAGACTACCATGATGCTACTATTTTGAGTAAACAGTTTGAGGAGTGAAAATTGTGAGAAATGTATGTAATACGTGGTAAATAGAAACTGTATCATATGTGCAGAGGAATAAATATATCCATTAAGAACTGATTTTGTGTACATAATACATGGGTAAAATGGCAATAGGCTCACCCCCTATTACATGGGACTCATAACATAAATAGTGAAAAGTGGGTGTTACATTGTACTGTGGTATAAATCTGCACCTCTGCCTACCCCTTCGGGGATAAAAGGCGTGATGTTATGTATGTAATACATGGGTAAAATTATCTGCCAACAGATACATGGCAATGAACGAAATGTAACTAGGAAAAGACAAAAAATACAGAACAAAATGCAACAACACAAAGAGGAGATTCTCTACGTTTTAATGAATACATACATACCTTAAATGAGTTTAATTCGGCTTTCTCAAATTGATTGAATACGTTATTATTATTAAGATTGCGTTGTGTACTTTTCTTTTAACTCAAACTCAAATTTAGTATTTATTTGCATGTTAAGGATACATATAGGTCTTATGAAATAACAGGCACAGCTTAACGGCCTTTTTCAGGCGTTGCAAATGTTAGGGGGTGTAACTAGCTTATTATAAATTACATTTGCTTAACATTTACTTTTTTAACATATTTATTGATTTGTTCGGAATATTATTTAAGTATACAATATATTATAGTTATCTTTTATAGTAATGGATGCAGCTTTTTTGGTAGCACTGTAAACATCAAGTATTTTAACTATTATGTAGGGCAGCGTTACGCAGGTCGCAATTTCGAATCCGGGTCCAAGAACCACATAACAAAATAACGGCCTAAACCTTTGTTTCAAAACGATGAGGTCAGAGGAATAATGTCATCGTGTTTTGTAGTTAACAGCGAACAGACGGACATTCCCACGTAGTCGCGAGGGACGCCGGCGTGCATACGAATATATATGTTTGTATGACATTACATGCTGGACATGATGTGACAAATTCACATACAAATACAATTTATTCGTGAATAGAGAATAGAGAATGTATGCTTCTGTGTAATATTAACTATATGTGGTTGTGTTATATTCTTTTTGTAACTTAAAACAAAATTTGTCACCTAGTGTGTCCTTGCCTTACTAAAACATGTGCTGCAAATGATAAGCTATTACTTAAAAAAAGAAATGATACAATAGGGTAGATGCCTAATTTTTATTTTAATGTCCGTCTGATAGATTACTTTAAATCATTACACACGTATTTTTAATTTTTTTACAGAAACGAATACTTTCGACGATATATTGATTTGAAATGTCGCGTGACGTCACTTCTATGTACATTTTATACGTACATTAAATGACGTTTTAGCCCCACTCCTAAACTTTGATTCATTTTATCTAAGTATTATTTTATTATATGACAAAATAAAAAATACGTGTCTAATATGTTTCATTACCTAACTTACGGACTAATTAGATTTTTAATTTTCATAACCTGGCATCATCCCTATTAGAACATTTAATTTTATTTGTGCCCAAATCTTAACTTAAACCTGATAATAATAAAACCTAGACAAGTATTGTAATACTAGAAAACGCTATGAGTGGTATTATACATATATGAGAGCGGGTCGGTGTGAGGCAGGTCAGCTGTACGACTATATACAGCTGTTTATTGCGCATTTCCTTACTGAGTCACATACTTTTGCGGTTTCAGACACCAGTCACTAGTCACTAAGGCAGATGCCCGGGACCAAGGTGGACAACCTAACTGGCTACCGTGGCTTCAGCTCAAAGCAGGAGTTAGGAACGGGGTGGTTTTCAGTCAGTAAGAGTCTGACACTCCGTCTCACCTCACCCAAAGCGAGAGAAGTCATTCGATGATTTTACCCCCCCCCCCCCCAAATAAATATACTATATGCAGTATCACTGTGTTTGAAATGACAGTGTATGACAATAGACTCACTTTTATTAACATGACTGGAGATAAAGTTGCGTAAGACATGATATTTATTACTGCCAGGGATCTCATATAAGGATTAAAGAAACAAATGTAAAAGAATCGAGTATCACCGTGAATTTGTTGTAGGTACTCAGCCAACTACAAAACCAGATAAAATAAACAATCCAGCCATAATCGTAAAAATCACAACATATACAAAAACCTGTGCCGCAGCTCGGAGCCCTAAAATCCGGTATCTGTTTTCACATAATAACACATAATTACAATAACTGCGTTTATCGTCGCGCGTGACGTTAATAACTGTTATTTTGTTAATAACGTTACTCAACCGGTTGAGTTT